GTAGATAAGTATTTAAATACATAATTAGGTACATATTAAATTTATTGAAAATAATATATTATCTTAAACATATAATAATATTATTGTCTGATATTAAACTATTATATTATTTTCAGATTTTTATTGTTGAATAATTACATTTTTATATATTTTAAATAATATTATTATATGTTTAAGATATTATATTATTTGCAATAAATTTAAAATGTACCTAAATTTGTATATAAATACTTATCTACGATAAAATTTTAATTTGGAGACTTTTTTTCCTAATATCCTTAGGTACTTCATAGACAGTTACTCTAGAAATCTGATAAATTAATGCAACATAAAATAATTCTGCACCAGGATAATGCACAATGTTAAATGTTAATTATATGGTGAAAGTATCATTGTGTGATTTTTTTCACTTTGGATTTGGGGAGTTCTTTTAGATTTACGAGCTACGGCCATCACAAAGTGACAAAATATAATTTTAAAAAACGATTTATCTCGACACTATATGTACAAAACAATCAAATTAATAGATTTATATTCTCTTTTAACATTCAATTGCCGTTGCGCAAAAATATCGACCAAAACCGGATTCTGACTATACTTGAGACTTAACACACATACCCTGAAAAGGGTGTAAAGTAATCATTCACACGTGGTATTCGAATTCGTCACATCGACAGACTTCATAGTTCATAGTGAGAGCGAAACGAAAAGTCCRGAACSAGRCGATGACAACAGGTGATTAGGGGCATTTAAACATATTTATTAATAAAAACCATACTTACTTAAGTCTGTTGGACACGAAACGTGAGCTGGACTCCTGCAAAACGTGGAAACACGAAAAACAGCCAAACGATGAAACGACTAACTGCTAAACTAGTTAACAGTTAACTACTCGGAMTGCAGATAAGGACATTAATCACTATAGTAGTAGTACACCAAACATTTTTTACTCGGTCTACCAATAGTAGAATTACTAGAATTATGCACTGAATGCAGAGATTAGKGTTAGCTTTACCAGTGTCGCCAAACTGCAGGATTCATAAATCCAGTACCAATTTACATTAAGTATGAAACCCTGTCATGGTCTTGGATGCCCTACGATTGGAAGTTGGAACACGATTTAATAGCGTTTTCCACTACATTACATTGACTGCACCAGTGCATATTTTTAWTTTTTATGTTCCATTGGCACTGAATAGATTAAATCAAATACTCGATATGACAATTAATACGGGATAGTCTATGATAAGAATCACGACATACGTATGCCCCCAAGAATTGTAGTGGTTGCCTATACATATTCTGCTAGGCGCTTATTGAGTATATTTTGCTGTCAGTGTCAGGCGTCAGCCTGCGATGAGGAATCTCA